AATAATTCAAGACAATGGGAAGAAGAATATGAAAGCTGTGTAGAACAAGAGGAATTAAAAGATATTGATCAATTTAATTATGCATCAATTAAAAATTATGATACGCATTCAAGACAATCTGCTGCTCATGACAGTATGGTAAGTATTTTAGTAAAAATAATTTTTTTATTATCCTTATTTTAAATTATAAATAATTAACTTTAAGAAAAATCCAACCTGCATTTTCATAACGGTTATAGTTATGTGGTGTACATGATAGATAACCTTTCAACGAGCTGGTAATACCTAGTAATCGAGTATTATCTACTTCTATTCCATTGATTTCAAGTCGTATTTGTTCAAAGAGATATGAAAAAACCGTTATTAGCAAGTTTTACTTCACTAGCTTCTGATATTTTACCTTCTAAAAAAATAAAACTCTCATGCAAATACGGATAAACATCTGTTTGCTGGATTGATGTTCGTATTTCATCATTATTATTAAATGAAGTCGTATAAGGTGTATATGAATGATATACATTTTCTTAATTTTAGAATCTGTTTCAAACCTCGAACTTATATCCAAAATATCACTTTCAGGCATTCTGTTTCAATATATAAAATGTTTTTATTTTTCACTGTCAATTTTTTAACTTTACTTGATGTTGACGGTAACACTTTAGTCGAATGACTAGCTAGTCTAACCTAAAGTAATGGGCTTATATTAAATTTTAATCTCATGTCAAGATCCGTAACGTTTAATATGTAGTACAATTGTTAAAGTCTCACAAAAATTATCGATTTGATTAAAATCTTGATCAACTAATTGAATAGTTATTGAATCAATATTTGTTTTGTTCAATTTATAATATATAAGGTTTGGTGGTGATTGAACCACTTTTGTTCCAGTTTTTCCACTAGGGAAATACTCGTAAATTGAATGAGTTTGAACGTGATTACTGAATGATCCTTGAGCAATATTACACATTACTTTTATACAGTTAATTGTGTTTAAATTTATAGCTTTTTCCGAACGCAGAACTTTAAAATCTGGATAATAGTCCCGTTTTTCAAACCCTAATAAAGGTGCTATTCCATAAACCTTATTAAATTTCGAAAGATATAGATGTTCCATTTTCTTTATTAAAGTCTGTTACTTGCTCTACAACTTGCTGGTTAATATCTTTAATATTATAACAACCTTTTTTTAGCGTAATAAAACAAATTTCCAATCCATTTCGATTCTTATCTAATACTTGAATTGCAAATTTATTATTTTCCGAATTAATATTTGGAAATAAATTGAACGTTTATAAATATAATAAAGCTATTTCAGAGTCCTCATACACGTTTAGAGGTGGGAAAAAAATTGTTGTCAATGTAGTATCATTCCCAGTTAAGCGTAGAGTCATCGATTCATTCATCTAAAAAAATGAATATCAAGATCCACAACGTTTAATATGGAGAACTATAGTCAATGTTTCACAGAAATCATAAATTGGTATATTATCCTGATCAACTAATTGAATAGTTATTGAATCAATATTTGTTTTGTTCAACTTATAATATATAAGGTTTGGTGGTGATTCAATTACCTTTGTTTCTATTTCTCCTCTCGGAAAGAATTACACGGAGACGAAAATGAGCTCAAGCGGGATATTCCCCCTTAAACTTTTAAAATCTCCCTGCCCAAAAGTGCTGTGAACATACAAATACATACTACTCATAATCACTGTGAATATTCTCAAAACGAAATACAGAAAGATATAATCCGAAGTTCTGTTATGAGAAAGGTCATTGAAGAAATTCATACACAACCAAGTAAAATTATTAGACGAGAATTATTATTAAAATCTGATTATAATTTAAATCATGGTGACATTCACTTATTACGAAATTCAATGTATGCAACTAGAAAAAAACATTTCCCGAAACTCTCAAATTTTGTTAACGAGCTTGTATTACAGCTGAAAGAATTTAAAGTAAAATTCAAAGATGAATAATATATGTATTTCAGTGTCGATAATTCTGTAGTATTGTTTACATGTCCAGCAAATTTAAGTGCTATGTGTGACGCTAAGCATGTATTTAGAGATGGGACATTTTTATATTGCCCAAAATTATTCGCTCAGCTTTATACCATTCACATTTATCAAAATTATTTTTACGTACCAGTAGTATTTTGTTTTTTAGAAGATAAACATACGTCGACATACACAACTATGTGGGAAACAGTTCAAAATCTTTGTACTCACATTCTCGATCGGTAACTTAATAGTAAAGAATTTCATGTTGATATTGAAAAATCAGCTCATAATGCAATTTTAAATATTTTTCCATGGTGTAAAATTATATGTTGTACATTTCATTTAGCTCGTATACAAAAGAGTAGTAAATTATTATGGGAGTATAAAAATAATAATTTAGAGATAGGTAAATGGCTAAAATATTTTATTATTTTGGTTTTCCGTATTTGTCATCTGAAGAAATAGAAATAGCATTTTCAAATTTAATAGCTATTGCTCCTCCAGATGGATTATACTTTTCTGATTATGTTTTCGCATCATATTCATATATATTGCCTAATGCAAACTTCAATCCATCCCTTTGGGCTGGAAAACTAGATGATCAACTAAGAACAACTAATGGAGCTGAAGCTTTCCATAGGCATTATAATAATCAATTCTACCCCTCATCCACATGTATACCAAGTTATTGATGTTATTTTAAACATTCAATCAGAAACTGAGCTTAAATTCAATTCAATAAAAATTAATGTCAATAACTATCGCCGAAAAGAAGTGATACAAACAATTGTGTACATGAAAAATGTATGGACCAAGTATTCGAATAACGAAATGGACCAATTGAATTACTTGGAACAAATGAGTAACCGCTTCCAAGGTAAACCATTGAAGTAACAAAAAAAAAAAAGACAAAATCGAAAATAATCGAAAACTTTTTAACACAAAATATATTACATAATACATAGAAAACACATTTTTAACCACACCAGTGAAAGTAAATATTCACTGACAGTCCTAAGTCTGTATAAATGGGAAGGGAAATGTGTGCGCAAACGAGTGGTTGCACTAGAAATAATCTGTGAGCGAACGAGTGGTTGTACTAGAAATATTCTGTGCGCTAACGAATTGTAAAAATGTGCGCCAACCAGTTGTAATCAAGTAAATGTGCGCAAACTAGTTGCACCCTCTCAATGACGGCTTTTTATTATATTATATTATTCGATCAGCCGTCAAAAAAAGAAAAATATCATTCAAATGTCTTATTGGTATATGTTTTGTTTTTGCATGTTTCGGTTTGTTTCAGGTATACGGTACTATAAATTATGTACTCTGAAAGAACACACATTAGATCCCAATGTTATTGATTATGCAATTACAAATAACCTAATAATGCACAAACAACATTAGTGTCCCATTGTGGTGTGGAGTGCGTTTACCATACTCTTATGTTCAAGAAAAATATTGGAAAAATATTGTTTTTTAAATTTATTTCTAATTCAAACAAATTCCAAATTTTTTGTTGGCTTCACCTTGTATTTTTCTACTGTTAAAATATGGTAATAAAATATAGTAAAAGCTGTTTCAAAATATTCGAAATGTAAACTTAATAACAGCTTATAGTTATGTCACTTTTGTAAGTATGACGTGAAAAAGCTGTGGTTTACCAAGACTTTTCAAGTGTGTGGAAACAAATAAAGTAATATAGTATCTTTTTTCAAATAAATTTTCTTTTCTTTATGTATTTAAATATAGTTTTATTATATGCGTCATAGTAATATATTAACTTTTAATTAATTTGTTAAAACATGCAATTTTTAACTTTCTTGAAAGATTTAACATTAACCTAAATTGTTGGTGATTGTGTATGACTTCCGATTTTTTTTGATTTTTTTTAATATTCAAAATAAAGGTCCAAATCTTAAAAATGATATCTTACCTTAGATGTTAGTAATTATTCATAAAGAAAAATAAACTTTAAATTTATAAAAAATTATGTGGCCAAGGAACATTACAACACTTGACTGACCAATAGAAAATAATGTACAACTCGTATTAATCTGCCCTCTACTACTGAAAAAACAAAATTATATTTGCTGTTGTAAATATGACGGAATGATTTTTTTAAAAAAAAAAGTTAAAAATGATAATAAAACCAACAACCAATATGCTAATATCATAGAAAAATTAATCCCAAATTTTTATGTAAGAAAATATAAAACATAAAACTATTTATTTATTGCATAAATAATGTATTGTAATAGAATTAAATTTTTATTCGTTAGAATTCTCATGTACATATTTAATATATTTTAATATTTAAATTTTATGGTAACATACAATATAATTTATGTATCTAGACTGATAAACTGATGTAAATAATATGTATCACTATATAATACATATAAACTATAAAATTTAGTTTAGAAACTGAGAATATACTTAAGACAAATACCAGTAAATTGATAATAATGGTATAACAGTTGTTAATTGGTGTGTAGGATATTCGCCTTATATCATTGTTATTCTCTTGGTATAAACTATAAAATGTAATTAGTAAAAGCTGTTTCAAAATATTCGAAATAACAGCTTATAGTTATGTCAATTTTGTAAGTATGATGAGAAAAAGCTGTGGTTTACCAAGACTTTTCAAGTGTGTGTAAACTAATAAATTAAATCAAAATTTGATATAATTTACAATAAATAATACTTTTTAATAATCGTATGCTTTAATAAATTCTAAGAGTTACAAAATTTAATTTAGTTTAAATATATTTCATATTTTGATTCTACTTTTACAAACCTATGTATACCATATAACATTATTAATTAATTTAACATGTTTGTACCACCTCACATTACATTTTTTCATTTCGATTGTTAAAACAGATGTTTTTAAAATAAATACATACAATATTTATTCCTTTGTTTTATTGCATATATTCCAAAATAAATAGGCACTCTTTTAGTATACAGTATCATTGTACCTAAGTTGAATGCGATCATTTTAAATTTGTTCTTTGTAAAACAAAGTTGTAATTATCTAAGTTGTTATATCTTTGTAATTATCAAAACAAAAAAAAATAGCTATGATTTCATTTAAAGTTTTAATAATATTAACTTTTACAATTAATTTAAGCCACTGTAAATATTCTAAAGAGCAAATTCAAAATGGTAACGAACATCAATTAGTTTATAAATATTGTAACTATTTCTAAATAATTGAAAACTGTTGATTAAAAAATTTTTATTAAAAATTAGGTTATAGATTCATTATTTTAAAATGAAATAACACAAATTCACATAACATCACTGTTAATTTAGAGTATTGAGTCTTCTTGTACAACCGAATGATAGGAATAAAAAACTTCATAATTATATTAATAGTACTATATAATGATAATAACAATACAATATTATTGAAATTTTGTTATTAAGATCATAGTTATTAATAACTATTCAATTTTCATTCGTTTATATTTCATGAACTTATTTAAACTTTTTGGAAGACTACTTACTGACACAATTTATTACTAATTATTTATCATATCTGGTTTCATGTTATTTTTTACGATTAAAGATCAAAATGTAGATTTGAATGGTACTGATTTATAAATTTAAATTTCCATTTGATGCTTAGTAATGATTGATTCACTTGAAATATTAAATAGGTTATATATTCATAAGTTACAAAAAAAAAACTCTATAAAATAATACATATAGATCAAATGTTATACATTTTCATATATTTTATCCTAAGTTCAGACGATTAGTGAGTAAACCCCGGACTCACGCGCCTTCAAAAATTATGATTGACACCTTTACTCTGTGACGTATTGAAGTGAATACCCAAATATCTCATAGTATGACTATTTATATCAGACTCAAATATCCAGTGATTGTTTTTAAAATTGACACAACGAATGAGGAAATAAGATGTTGACTAACGAATTGAAAGTTTTAATATAATAATTATACTGCTAAATAATATCCTCGTTTTTTGTTAAAATATCATATCTGTTGTTTTAATTATTAAATTTATTTTTTACTGTCATTATGAATGTTATTATTGTATTATTATCATAACTATTATTATTCACACAACCATTACTATTATATTCCAATATTTGTATTTATTTACCTATTTGTATTCAAAGGGCATATTCCGATATTTTTTAATAAATAAATAAATTAGTTATAGTTACTATATATTATATAGTAATCCATATTATTTAGTCAAGTTTATTTATTTAGGAATATAAATTATGTTGATTGATTTTAATATTGTAAATTAGGATAGTATTTAAATACTTGAACATTTTAAATATGTATTTAAAAATCAATTAATTACAATATAATTCGGATGATACATTATTTATGCAATAAGTCTACAATAGTTTTTTTTTTTTTTTTATTGGTTTAGGAACTTTAAAACGCTGTGTTTCTAAAGGTCTCTGCATAACCAAAGACGACTATGTGTGCACTTTACACCCACATTTAAATATAATTTGGTTTACATACAAAGTTACTGTAAAATTACACAGTTCAATTCATGTTTACACACAATATGGTGTTTATACTCATATAAATATCAACGCAGTTGTATGTGTGTACATTAAATAAAACACAGAATATTATGTCGCTTTAAACAAAAAATAATAATACATGTAAAAAGTACATAGACTTTACCAATTCATCCAATTTAAAATACGCAAAATATATAAATGATAAATCCCAGGATCATCAACCACTGTATTTTATATTATAATTTATAATATATGTAATACTAAACATATTTTAAATATCAAACCATAAACTTAATGCATATTTTGTTTTTGTTTTTAGAATGCAAAAGTAATGGATTTTAAATCAGTAAATTACAGTTGTATTGTAGATATGACATACTATGATAAAATGGATTTATTATATTAATATTATGTACCAACTTAACATACTTTTATAATATTTTAAGCTTTATCTTATATTAAAATTTAAGCATTCATATTTGATAAGTTAAAATTATTTTATTTTATTTAATATTTTAGTATGCGGAGGTAAGATATTTATTTATGTCAGTATATGTATTATTATACATTTTATAGTGTATTTGTAGAACATTGTTTTAAGATTCCAAGGGAAGCACTACGTTGTTAACTTCCTTCAAATATAAGATTGAAATATTATATTTACATTACTATTTCTTAATCATTTTAATTTAAATTTTCTATAGAATTCGTCAAAATTTCGAAAAGTACAAATTATTTTGTGGTTAGAAATTCATAAAAATATTTTTGTTTATATCTAACATAACATTAGGAATGTATAATAACTTAAATTGTTTTTAAAACAGTTATTTATTTTATGGAGATACTCATTATTAGTAATCATAACAATAATTACGCATCTGGCGGGTAAAACGAAAACTGGTCAAAACTCCTGCTACATTTGGCGCTGCCGCCGACCATTCTGGCAATTGCAATACTCTGTTTACTACGACGTCGTCGACGGCGACGACTATAGTTGACTAAAGGCGACAAAAAACTAAGTAATTAGACTCAGTCCTAGCGGGGAGGAGGTTCAGGCGTTGCTCTGTGGTGCATTTGGATGCGCCATGGTAGTGTGCCCTTATATTAATTCATAATTGGAACAGAGTATACGAATTAAGTTTAATTTTTCATAAATTCTAAGTGAAGTGATGAATGCATTAATTTTATAACAATTTTTTTTTCATCACCTTTTAGTGTCATAATATCGTTTTGAATTACAACTTTTCTTAGTTGTCTCTGGTAGTAAATGAATAAATTAACCTCATTTGGTACTTTGGGAATATCAAAAGTAAATAACTAACAGTATTTTTCTAAATAACTTTAAAAACAAATAAAATTGAAAATAAAATACAAGTAAGGTAAATAACATTTCAAATTCAAATTAGATAAAATTGTATATTTAAACAAAAATTTAAAATTTAATTTATTTTTTCCAAATTTAAAAATATTATTCATGACTACTTGAAACATCTAATGCATATTATTATATTTCTTACATACAATGACATTTTTAAATATAATTATTTTGGTAAAAATCAATTTAACTTACCATTTATATTATAATTAGATACTAAAATAGTTTATTTGAATATAAATTTATATATTATAAAATATATAGTGGCAAATTATCTTTGCTTAGAATCGTTTTTACATAGAATGCTTTAAAATTTAATTCAAATTAAATATATACATTACAGTGACTTACTGATACAATGATAACCAGGGATCAGGGACTTTATGCATTTACATATTTGTTCGAGAATAGATAGAAGAAATCGGATACGATACTTATTTTTATTTATTTTTTTTTTTTGATATTTATAAGGATGTCAAATTAAAAATTTATATTTTACTTTTCATATGTATGCACATTAAGTCCCAAGTCCTGCTGATAACTGATAAATTACATTAAAAATATTATCTGTACATTGAAGCTATTACCTACTTATTCTAACATTTTCAAGAAGACATTTTTAATTTAATTTTATGTTTACTTATATTATTTGTTTAATTTCGGAAACAAAATAACAGAGTGTTTAAAAGCAACCGGGTTTCGATGTAAGTATGCTTATTTATAGTATTAAAATTAAGTGTTATCGGATCAATTTTTGTTATTTATATTATATTCCTAATCATATACAATAGGTGAAACTATTTTATAATTATCACCAGGTCCGTGAATTTAAAACAATGAAAAACCTTAAAAAATTCTTTTAAAATTTCAAAAATGCAATAAAATTTGCACTTCAAATGACAAAAATTGTAGTATCCTCGCGAACGTCGAAAAGGTACTAAATGCCAATAACATATTAAAATTATTAATCAACCAGTTTGGAAATTCGTGACTGTTATACTTATATGCCACAAATAACTAACAATAATGCCTTATTTTATTGAATCATTATCTTTGACCCGCATACAGCTTATGTAAAATATAAATTTGAGGTTCATACAACCTGTATAAAATAAAAATATTTTCTCAAAAATGTCAATTGGCAGAATTTGATTAAAAATACGAAAAAATTAACTAAAATAAAAATATGACTTAAAAATTTAAAAACGTCGAAAAATTCAAAATAAAAGCTTCATAAATGGAACTTTTGTTACATAATTCAAATTCATAATCAGTTTAAAAAAAATATACTTTCCTACAAATTTACACCCCTAATTATTACATATGTGTATTCAATACATATTAATATAAAAATTGTGCGTTACATAAATCTCCATATAATATGAGAGAGTAATAAACACCTGATGTATTAAATGTTTTTCTGTAGATAAATTAATAATAATAAATTACAATTTTGCAAAGAAGTGTGGTAAGTAATTTAATGAGGTTATAATTTATATCTTTAAAATATATTTGATGCCTACGATTAAAAAAAAAATATTAGACATATAATATTCTTTAACACCCTATATACGGCAGCATGTATCGTATATCTGAATAATAAATGAATACAATAAACATTTTTTTTTTTCCATTAATTGTGTGGTAACTCATGTTCGCGGATAATAATCAAGAACTAATAGGTACTGAAATGGGCAAAAATTTTTTTGAATTACAAACAACACATAAATTAGAGTTTAATGCATCAGAAAAAGTGAGTTTTGTAAAAATATTTTAAATTTAATTCTCATCAATTAAACTGTCATATTTAAGTTAAAACTATTTTTAATTTTTTTTTTTTTTATAAAAAATAAAGCAATCAGACATTATAGTTATTTTTATATCTTCATAAATACTTAATGTTAATAAAACTAAATTAATTATAATTATAAATAATTTACACTCAATTCACATTAAATCAAAACTTTAAAAATGTAATATTATAAATTATTTAGTTGAAAACCTTAGAAATTGATTAATATATGAAAAAACTAACGCTTGCATAGTATTGATTCTTTTTTAAGGCTTTGTAAATGAGAATGAAAATATATAATATATCAAGTATAACTTTCAACGCAATTTAAATATTTTATTCTTCCAAATATTTCTTTAAAATACGAATGATATTTAGTATTATTTAATTAGAGTTCTATGAATTGCTTATTTACTTTTGTTCTTAACGTTTGAAATTAATTTAAATTTTATTAAAAAACATTATTTTGACTAACTAACTACAAAATTAATATCTGACAACGATATCATCATTCATTTTATTATTCAGTATGTCAATAATACATTCAAAATAGAAGATATAATAATAAACGCTTTAGATGTTACCTTATTTAATTTAAATAGTCACTGTATATAATCATTTCAAGTAAAATACAAGAAAAACAAGGTATTAATCAATATCAATTATCAATAAGTTTCACAGAATGAAAGATAAATAAAAGATGTTGTTATCTATTGGTTGGTATTTAAATAATGAGTAACAAAGTGATTTAAACTCACAGTCTGCTACTTGTAGTTCAGCGTTTTTTTGTTTTTTGAAACTGTCATAATGATTATGGAGAAATTTTTTTTTTTTTTTTTTAATTTCATAGCTTCTTCAAATTTTAATATATTATTACAAAAATCACAAATCAAATATTATTGTGTTTTATATATTTTGTTTACAGCTACACTCGAAGGCGTATGGATTATCACTACTATCAAAAGCTGATATTAATAGTATGTTATTTAATACATTTTTATAATCGCTACAGACATTAATTATCTTTTATATATCTTAGCAAAAGTTTTAAATTATTCAACTAATCAGGGTGTTTTGGTTAAGAACTGTTGTTTATTACAACTGTCGACTGTATACCCAAACTGCAGTCATGCAAACATTTTTAATACCAACTTATTATAATATTATATAGACGATATAAATAAGTATATTTAAAAAATAACATATTATAATTATATATTCACATCTTATCATTGTATTATGAAAGTTTGAGTGTAACAGTTAATAAATGATTGCCAGATTATTTTTTCCAAATAACAGGAATCCCTAATATTATTATTTTGTCATTGATGAAAGCATTAGTATAATATTATTATCCATTGATTTTAACACATATTTTTTTTTAAATAATAAAACTAATGTATAGATTATAATATTTATAATTTCTGACAGATTTTATAACTGCGTATTACAATGAAATCATAAATGAAAGACCTGAAAGTAAGTATTATTCTTAAAATGTTTCAGTTTTATAAGTTTGTTTCAAATTAATTATAAAGTTTGTTTTAAACGTGTTAAACTTATACTTGTGATTGTATTTTTATATTTATTATGTATCAAGTAAAAAAAGAAACAAAACCAAATAATAAAGATTTTTATTCATTTATTACAGTTACCCCGATGAGTCTAAATGATTATTGTGAAGAACGTTGTGAGTAATACAATAAATATGTACATAAAATAAATTCAAATGTTTCTAGTACAAATTTTCCATTCTACAAATTTATACCAAAAAGAGATATGAATATTTCACACATAAACAATATGCGCAGTGGTGAAAAGTTCTACGTTTTATACTTTTAAAATAACATAAAAAAAAAAATCTTTTATTGTTAAATTAATGATAGCTGTTTTTATTTAAATATCAAATGTTGTCAAAATATACGAACTTAAACATTATAGCGGAAAACGATGGGTTCAATGTTTTTGACGAATTTTGAATTTGTGAGAAATTTAAAAGTAAAATAAAATAATAATATCACATTTATATTGGATATTATAGCTTTTAGCCTTTGTAGGTATTTTTCATAATATGCAAATGCAAAAGACAAAACTAACAAGTATATCTATACAACATCAAATAGCATTACTAAATTAATGTTAATTGTTCAAGTTTATTATCATTGACGTGTGCATAGAGTGTGACATAAACATTTTAACATGCTTTTTTTATGCTCTTTCATTGAAATGCATTAAAAAAAAAAAGTATTATGTGCTCAGCTAATATAACAATAATTATTTGTCTTTTATCAGTTCCAGTCATTAAGTACAATTAATTTAGAATATCTTATATTAGGTACTTAAATTATTAGATTTTAAAGTGGTTTTTCAAGTAACTAATAATTGTTCAAAAAAAAAAAAAAAAAAAGAGAACAACACTTTGAAAATATAAATTGTAGGTATGTACCGCCTGATTGAAATTGTAATTTGTTATGTAAAGAATGTGTCGACTTTGTCAAGGACAAGTCTTTAAAAGTATGAGAAATAAAAATAAAAATGTAAAAAACATTACTGGTCATTTTTTTAGCTTTGGATTATTTATTTTTTCATTTTAAACACTTTAATTATAATACATAAACTTTCCAGCACTACGTTTGATTTATCATTAAGTGAATTCATAATAAAACTAATTTATATTTTTGAAATAATATAATATCAAGTATTAAGCTAAAGATTTAAATTTTTTTTACTTTGTTTAATTTATATTCTAAAATCAACTATAACATAAGAACTATTTTAAAATAACACTAACATTCATTTAATATAATTTTTAAAGTTAATCAATTGAACTCATACAGTATGTATTATTATATTGCATTTATTTTTAATCGGAATAGATGTTTAAAATTATCTATTAAATTTAACAAGTTGTGTACGAGTATAACTTATTTTTACATCGCGAATTATATCATTAAACATAATTTATAACATAAAAAAATTTTAATTACTTTATTGTATTTATCTTTTATAGCAAATTGCACTTATAATAAGAGTAAGGCCATAAATGTGTTTATAATTACAGTAATATTTGTACTCACATAAAGACATACTTTACTTAATATCTAATTATTCTATCATAATTTTAAATTCATTAAAACACTTAAAATTAAACAATCCTTATATAATAATATTTGTGTATAAATTTTAAAATAGAGCTTTCTTATAAGGTATTAAACAGTTATAAATTGTTATTTAAATAATACGTTCTTGTTATAATCCATTCGGTCTTTTTATTGTTAATTCTATCACTGGAAAAATATGTTTTTCTTGATTCTCTGTAGTCTGTAAATTAGTAGATTCATAGTTAAATAAAAAAGTGATCATTTTTTTTTTTTCGATGAGAAGTGTTTTTATATTTGAAGCAATTGATGAATATTTCATAAATGTTGAATTTCAAAAATTTTTCTATTTTTAATATAACTAGGTATGTATTCAATAAACAATGGTCACAAATATGTCTTTTTTTTAATTTTATAAAATATAAAAGGAAGAAAAATTTCAATCACAAAACCACTTCTCATCAATTTAGTTAATAACTTTGTTTATATATATATATAATTATGATTTACTTTTATACTTTCACAGTTGGCATAAGTAAGTTCGTAATAGTATTGACTATTTTATTTTGTTTAAAATTAAAAAAAAAATATGTAATATTAAGCTATTTGGTCAACTTTAAAGAATAAAATGATAAATTTTTAAGCATAACCCTGACGTTAGAATAATCACAATAAAATCTAAAATTAAATTCATCTTTTATCTACTTTAAAAAGTTTACTTTATTTGATTTTTAAGTAATAATACTCAGTTAAATCACTACAAAATCTACTAATAAGACTCATTATAACAGTCTCTGACAAACTATTAACTAACGATGGTAAATAATTTATCCTGATAACACTGGGCATGTAGGATAGTATTTAATAATATTACTAAAATCAAACACTATTTACATCCGGCTAATCAGACGTTTGCTATACATTTATACAAGTAACTAATAATAATATCCAAAGAACATTAAATCATACACCAATTAAAATATCTTCTGTTTCCCTTCCTATCTACCCTACTATTAATTCAAAACTAAAAGAATATTTCAAATATTTTGGCAAAACATTTTGATAGACGATTTCAATGCCAAACACTCTCTATGTGGAGCATATCATATGACAATCCAAGAGAAAAAATACTTCGAAAAATTCGTAACCAATTACAATTATACACACATATTCTTAAATGGCCCTATCTACTGGCCACAATACTAAATTAAAAACCTAGGCATTTTAGATTTCTGTATTTCAACATTACCTATATATATAAAATTAACTGTTACCAACTTAAATGATCTTATCTCCTCTGACCACACGCCTGTCTCCCTTAAATAAAACAAAGCTCCAAAACTATATCCTATGCATCATTCTCTTTTATTACAAGGGTTTAATAAAATTGAATGAAATCTCTAAAACTATGCAAAATACTATGATAAGTCACAAAATTGTGCGAATTAATTTACCAGAACAGTTATGCAACCGTACTAACATAACCCGGTACGGTTATTTGGAATTTTCATACTAACAAATTAAAGCTGGAGTTCCCCGAGGTAGACACATTTCTCCCGATTCATTTAAAATTTATACAGCTGACATTCCTAAAACTTAAAATACTATTATAGCCACTATTATTGAGACGACACCGCAATTATTTCACTTAAACTGATTCACCGTATTCTAAAATCCAAATGGTAGTGTATTAATAAATCTGTTAATAATTATACCAATATGTATAAATATATATGATTTACTTTTATAATTTCACAGCTTTTGATAGTAAGTTCATGATATGATTGACTATTTCTTATTTATTATTATTATTTGAAATAAGGCTTCAACAGCAATGGTTTTTAACCCGTTTTATTTTTACATTTAGTTAACTTATATAGTTTAAACTTATTTACAATATTTTAATAATATTTGTAATGTTTAGAATGAAATAATTTTTAAAGTTTTTTTTCTCGTCGATTTCTTATGTTAGATGGCATATTGAGGTGTATTGTGTGCATTCTTGCAATGTGTGCTCGATTTTAAGTATTTGATAGTATGTTTTGCATATTGGTTGAGGATCTTAGCTGATTAAAAATGAGTGTGTGAGCATGGATGGTCCAATTCTAACACGGATGATTACTATGTCATGACGTCTATTGAAGTATGAAAGGGTGTGATATATTTTTGATTGTTTTTTTAATGCTTTTAAGTTATAAGGTATTTGGTATTGAATTCCAGTTATCCTGCCATGATGAGGGGGCATTTTTAATAATGGAATTATTTTATGTCATCAGAAGCTATGTTGTTTTTTGTAGGATTAGGAATTTTTTTTCGTCGTGAGACCGGCATATTTGTCTGCTTGTTTATTTCCTGCAATACCAATGTGAGAAGGTACTCACTTGAGTTTAATATTTATTTTTATTTTTTGATTAATATTGCTTGAATGTTTTAGGTTATGTATTTTATTGTTTGTGGATAAGTTTTTTAGAGCTGATAAAGCACTAAGGACATGGGCGTTCCCAGACAATTTTCTAAGGAGGGGAGGCAAAAATTAATTTAAAAAAATAAATGAAAATTTTTTTATACGTTTTTTTTATATTACATTATTATGTTTTGTCATTATTATTTTTATTTATATATTATTTTTTTTTCATCAAATATAAATTGCAATCTCCGTGGACATTCTCTAACAAAATGTGTCAGTGCATTTTCAATAAATTTTTCTTTATTTAAATTTACTTTTTCTTGATGAACACTCAACATACATGTTCTACTCAATATATTTTCACACATCGTTGAACGTAGCCATGTTTTAACACGTCTTAATGTACTGAAAGAACGTTCTCCTGTACAACATGAAACCGGAAGAGATAAAAATATTTCTAAAGCAACAGCTATAATTGGGAAAAATGTAGAATAATTTAACAAATCGATAAAATCAATATCTTGGCAGTCCGTAATTTGCCAAAAATTGTAATGGCAAAATCTATTTCAATGGCGATTGATTTCACATCGTTAAATAATGTTTGAAAAATGTTATGAGCGTCATTTCGATGATTAGTAATGAATTAATATGCTCCCTAATTTTATATAGGTCTGATGAAACACCTTGTAACATATTTGTTACAAATTCTAAAATAGCACTGTACTTCGCCATGGTAATCATAGAAATTAAGAATGATGAATTTAAGGCTGTAGAATATAAGAAATGAGCTCGTTGCCTTGTATTAGAATTCGAATGTCCTTCAGTATTTGATAATGATTTTAAATTTGTCATGATTGAAATAAAATGTTCTGAAAATACTCTTATACTTTTGTATTTAGACGACCAGCGTGTTTTACAAAAAAGTGGTATATTAGGTATAAGTTTTCTTCTAAGCGTACTTTCACGGAAAAATCTTATATATAAGATGCTAGTTATTATTGAAAGCTTATGTTGAATGATTGTGTCATTTTCAATTACGTCAAAAACTACATCTAACACATATATGTAGAATTTTCCAAAAGACTGAGCATCCTGATACAATTCAGTATTTCCTTTGAATCGTGGCCATAAGTAATTTTGGACTGCCATGTAGAATGCTCAAATGATAATGGATGATGATTAACTGCGTAACATGAGCAGCCTTAGAGAGTAACACCGGATGTTTAGCTTCCTCTGTCAGAAGCGATAAACGAAGTCGATCGCTGACACGTATTAATCCTTCATTGTCTAAATATGGTGACAACTGAGCAAGTGAATTGAAGGTATTCTCCAACATGATTAGATATAGTTCTTACGTGATTCCACTCACATTGTGGCAATAGCTCCTTTTTTTTTGCTAACTCTATTTGTAACAAATATTTTAAAATCCTTTGGCCCAGCCTTTGACCATGCCAAAACAATCGTTGAATCGGACAATGCTCTGAAGCTTTGTACACATACAAATTCCTTCAACAGTGATATCTTTTGTGCAAAAAGACGTGCTTACAAAAGTGCGGCACAAAGCTCTAAACGGGGTATGGTCATGGACTTACCGATCTTGGACGTAATTAACAGAGGAACCTTTGACTTGCAAGTAATGAAAATGAAATGTACGTTAATAAAACCTTGATTGTCCGTTATTCGTAAAAAGACCTTCGAAGCATAGCCCTTCTGTGACGCATCATTATCTTGTTCCAATTGAAGAAAACAGCGAATAACTTAGAACGGTGCTGAATTTATACCATAGGTAACAGTACACAACTCATATTCCTGCACTTCCTCGTGTGGTGAACGCTTCCACAGGATGTGTTGGTAAACACGGTCTTCTTCAAGAACCAATATCTGTCGATATATCTTAATTATGTCCGCTATGAAGATGTACTTATAAAATCGACAACGCAATAAGATGTCCCTAATATCGGTTTGCAGTTTAGATCTAGTTGCTAAACAATCGTTCAGAGAACGTCCCGACGATGAAGGGGCGGAGGCATCAAAAACAACTCTAATTTTTATGTCATTCTCCTTCCGTTTTACAACTGCGTGATGTGGTATGAAATATTCTCCCGCGCGATCAGTCAACTTCATATGGCCTAGTGCGATATATTCGTCCATAAAATCACGATAGGTATTATATAGCATTTCATTTTTGCTTAGTGAGGTTCAGGATTATATAAGCGATTCAGGGCTAATGAACGGGATGACACTAGGCCTAATGAATAAGCGTCACTTCTTTTACTTTCCTTTTCTATTGAACCAAGAATAATGGATTTGAAAGGGTAAAGCAACATGAAATCCTCAATTACAATCCCGCGATACTGTTTCTTGAAAATGTCGTTCACATACTTCATTTCCATGCTTGGGCCATGGTTTATATAAAGTTTTTCAACTTCCCAAAATTGCTGTTCACCTATATCTTGGCTATCTGATGCTGCATGAACCGCCAACGATGATGCCGTAGAGTATTCTCTTGACCCCTCTATGGCTCTGACTATTACCCAACCAAACTGTGGGTGCAAAGCTGAAAGCAGACCAGGACTATGGAAAATGTCCGATCGTGATTGTAAGATGAATGGATATAAATCCCCTCCGATCAACATGTCTACTGAGCCTGGTACATCAAAATCAGGGTTAGCGATTGGGAGATGCCCGTATCTCTTACGAATTGAAGTGGGTAATTTTTGATTCGGCACGATAACAGTAATTTTTTGTAATATTACGATGTTGGTGGCTGATATTTGTGGTACATCATAAAACAAGGAAATAAAACTACAATTGGTTGAACCCTTAACAGTTCGTACGGGCTGTTGTGCTAGATCACTAACCTCTACTCGTCCCATGTCACGTGGTAAATCAAGTTGGATCGCACATTGATTAGTAATGACCGAAATTTGTGATCCAATATCTAATAAAGCTCGTACTGGCAACAGCTCACCAGATTGGTCCCATATTCTCACGACTGCCGTAGCTAGTACAACACTAATATCTGATTTCACTGCGCATGAAAAGTTAGTAGATGTAAGGTTCTGATCCGCGGGGCTTTCAATCGGCTTTGAAATTGTCGCTACGTTTGGTGTTGATGTTTTTCCTGAACCCTTATTTTTTGAATCTAAATGGAACAATACACTGTGTCGTCCTTCACAAGTTTTGCATAGGTACGCCGACTTACAAGAGTTTGTTTCATGATCCAAACGTAGACAAACAAAACATAATTTCTTTTAACGACAAACTCCCGCCGTTCGGCGACAGATTTTTTTTTGAACACTAAATATCGAAATAACGGGTGATCGCAATCGCAAAACGCAAATCTGTTCTTGGCAGTGACAGTAGTCGATAATGAAGTCTTCAAGGACGCCTTGCCGCCCTTGCCCTTTTTAGTACTGCTGTTACCCAATGACAGTGTATCCGTATTAGTGCCAACATTTTCTAAAATCTTACACCGATTCGCGGCGAAGTCCAATAGCTCATCCAGACTTGGTATGTTTTCTTGAGGTACACTTGCTTCAAATAATCGACGAGTGTCAGAGTCAATGACACGGGCACCGATGTAAAATAGCAAGAATCCAGACAAATCAGTAACACCAAGTGCCTTTAGCACAGCTACATTCTCGCGAAAGGTATTAAAAAAAGATACTAACGAGGATACCGATTCCCGTTGTAAACGTTCAAAAGAAAATAATTTATCACAATGTGCCGTAGCAAGAAGTCGCTTGTTGTCATAACGATCCTGAAGCGCACGCCAGTCAATTGCTTAATTTTCCGAGGTTAGTGGAACTGATTTGACAATGTTTAAGGCCGAACCTAATAAGCAACATACCAAATAATGAAAGCGCTCTATATCCGTTATTGACCAATTTTCATGCACTAGTGACGTAAACATATCTCGAAACGCGCACCAGTTGATAAGACTACCGTCGAATTTTGGACGCTCAATCTTCGGCAACGACAACGATGCATGAGAATTATACATATTTTCGCGTTCTACGATTGCACCTTGTGGTGTAGTTGGAGGATATCTACGTATTTTTGAAAACACCACTTGAATTTCTCCACACATTTCTTCCATATTCTCGGTAATTCCTAAATCTGAACTTGTAAATTCATCAGACCTGTTTAACTCAACCAGGCACTGTCGCGGTGACAAACGCACATCATCGAATGATCGAGAATATTATCGATCATTCCAAATCTGTACCCAACAATGGGTAGTGACTTTTGATTTGCACCCCAGGTGTGGGATAAATTTTGATTATACTAATTTTATGTTTAGAAATAATTTTAAGTTGTCTTAAATTCAGATATTAAAAATGCGAAACGCGGACACTTTGTACGGTCGGGTAAATATAAATATCAAAAAAATGTCAAAAAGTAGTATAATATATAAATAGTATTTAGATGTTATGATTTTTAGAATATTAGCTAATAAAAAATATTATAATCTATATTAAATATGAATGTCAAATGACAATATAAATATTATGTCAAAAGGTAGTATAATATAAAAATAATATTTAGCTGTAATAGTTATTACTATTACAAATTTTTAGAATATTAGTTTATAAAAATAAAAATAGTAAAATATGGAAATATTTTATATTAATTTTATTTTTATTTTTTCTATTTTAATAATTAACACTATACATAATTATTAGTTACTAGGTACTTATGTATAAAACTTATATTTATAATAATATACACTTTATGTATATAATAGTACAAGGTGTCCGCGTACTGCATTTTAAACAATGGACAGTACAAAGTGACCGTTTACTTTTAAATGAGATGTAAATTTAAGGTTGTCTTCAAAATTTATTCCTAGTATTTTGTTAAAATAATGGTGCGTTATTTAGGTGTAGGTGTTGGTTTGTTTTAGGTTTGTAGTTGAATACAATGCATTGACTTTTGGCCAGAGAAAATTTGAATCCGGTTTCTTTGCACCAGTATTGGAGGGTTTGTAATGATGATTATAGAATGCTTAACGTGGTTTCTATGTTATTCCCATCGCAATAAATATAGCAGTCGTCGGTGAACATGATATGTTTTTTTGGATAAGGTATTTTGTCGAAGATGTTTTTTATTGCAATTATGAACATTATGACACTCATAACTGATCCCTGAGAGATTTTAAATAAAAAAATACTGAACAAAATTAACACTTGTAATAATAAGCTTTTTGTTTACCCTTAAAGATTAAAACGAAACGATTTACTCGTTTTTACTAATAAATAATTACACTCATTCAAATCATCACAATAGTTCCATATTAAAAATTTTATTATAAAAACTATGTAATAGCTTTAAAAAAAAAATTATAATTTTATTTTATCATTCGACTGTAAATATAATTGATTTAATTACGTTTGATTTATAATTTATTTGTAATTGTAGAGTGTTTAAGTAAGTTAACTGATTTAAAATAAATAATTTTTTAATCTAATCACTAATATCGTTTCCATGATAGTTAATTATAAAACATAACAGACCTAGAATCACAAAATATCTTATCAATCAATCATTCAATTATGAATATAATAAATTGACTATTTCAAGTATCATTTAAGTACAATAAAATAATACTTTTGTATATCCTGTCATAAAAGGCTTACTTTGTAATTCATATGATCATATTAATATAAATTATAATTAACTAATAAAACATTTAAAGATAACTCATTTAAACTGTATACAATTTTAAATCCAAACATAATAAATTACTTTATATTTACATTATATTCAAATATAGTGAGATTAAAATAGTTACCTATGCATTATCATGTTTAAAATTAATTATAATATATTAAGAACTGAATAATAAATGTTTAACAATTATTGTTAAGAGTATTATTCATGAAAATAGCATAACTAAGTTTTTGTATTCACATTATTTTTTTTAAATTATAAATTTATAAACAGCAAATCTTAAATCCAAATTTAATGGTGAGTATATAATTATTTAACGAAAATACATATACCTAAACTTAAAAATCATTATGTGACATTAAGATTCGTGACAGGTCAAAATTTAACTAATTTTATTGGTAGATATTTATATAGGTTACGATACGCTAGCTCCCCAAGTTAAAAATAACATAATATGTAAATATGTTAAAGATCACTATAACATTAAAAAAAAAAAATTAAAATACTACTTATTGAATGTAAAAAGTAAAAACCTTTTTATTGTAGGTATAGTAATAACATATTTATTATTTTTTTATTTGTAGATAATAATAGATATGAAAATGTCGAAACTGCATATAAAATATGTAAGAAAACTAATACATTATATTTTTTAAACTGATTTTATTATGTTGATGAACTTTTATTAAGATATTATCAATAGAACTAAGATTATGAAAAATATAAATAGATGAAATGCATTTTATTGTTTGTAATTTAAAATAATAAATAAAATATACAGACTATCAATTAATAATATTATTTATAACACAGTATTATCTCTAAGCTGACTAGACACATTTCCCGATAACCATGAATGAACTATCCGCTTAGAAAATTCACTCTTCTCGTATTCCAAACTCGAGCAATAACATTAAGACGCAATCGCTCAGTCAGGTGTCTATGTTATTTTTCGGAAGAAAAATTATTGCATTATAAACGATGTTAAAAATAAGGTTAATAGGTCATTGTCGACTAAAATAAAAGTTCTCCATTTACATTGGTTACAATAATTTTAACGACACATAAAAAAAATGGAAATTAAAACAATGTAAGCGGAATCTGTCTTATTTTACATCTAACGATAGGCTACACCTACTCTTATCGCCTCTCTTTACTGTTATCTTTGTTATTAATACCATAGTGTAATTTAAAATCTAAAACATGTTTAATGTTTATGCTGCCTTTAAAATATCCAATTTACATAAAAAATTTGATTCAATATTAAATAACTCCCCAGTACTTTCAATTGCTCATTTAAAATTAATATTATCTCCTAACTGACCTACCTCAAATTTAATTAGTTTGAAATGGCTGTCTATACATTTCCTTCAATCCATAGATGGAGTTTATCTAATAAATGCGCTATCCAGTTCAATGATTTTCTCATATGCAATTACATAGACATATATATTTCTATTCTAGTTTCGGAAAATGCGTGATGTGGAACCTTATCTGCTTAATAGTAGAATACGTCGAGTTACGTGTATAGTACGATGTAGAAGAGATTGATATTAAAATTTTTTATACTTAATAATCACAAAAAAAAAAAATGATAAATTCATCATTTTTTTTTTAACTAATAAATTAAGTTCATTGTTTTATCTATTCACACAAAATTGGAACCTACTTATTACATCATTATTTATTAATATAATATTTTATTTTAAATCATGTTATACTTTAGATTGGTACGATTGCTTATATTAAGAAGCAATCAATTATTTAAATATAAAGCAAAAACTAAAAATATGTAATTAATTTTTAATAATTAAATACTTTCTTATTTAGATATTAAAACAGAGGACCTTAAGAAGAAAGGTAAAAATCAAATATAAACGAAATTAGATTTTAGGAACAATGTACTTCATTGCTGACGCGTATCTGCCTATTTTTACGTCATATGCTGTGATTGAAATAAATACTAATTTATTAAACCCTTTATTGTAAATCTATCACGCTAGATTTGATTACAAATTTAAATTGTAACAGGTGCAATTGTAAGTTGATCATTTTTTGAACGGCTAGAATAATGAACCAGTGTTTATAATCGTAATTAATTGTCATAATGTTGAACACTTACTACGTAGGAAGAGAATAATTATAAAAGCAAACCCGTAATACTTAATTTATTATTGTTTTTTATAAACACAATTCATGTAGATGTATTTAGAATTCTATTAAGATGAGGAATATAAATTAATTATAGTTTAAAAATACTTATATATCACAGAAAAATAAAAAAAAAATTAAAAAATCCAACAAGTTAACGCAGATAAGATTTTTAACTTTACATTTTTTAATGGGTTTAACTTTAATTTAAATCAAACGATACAAAATCGGTGATGTTGAACGGAAATTTGTGATGTTCCGATTGGGTCTGAGAGATAAAATTAGTACAAAGTATGTGACATTAAAAAAAAAAAAAAAATGTATATAATGTTTATAAATATATTCTAATAATAGTTTATACTAGCGGCTTTTATAATAAAAAAAAAATAAAATAAAATAACAATGAATATATTAATTTTCTAAGGTTGTATTATCTTCTTATTCTTCTTCTTCTGGCTTGATCTTCTTTACGAGAGTTTTTGCCGGTATCACAACTTCACGCCATTTCTCCCGGTTACGGATTATATTTCTCCGGTCATTAACTCCTATCCTTTTTAAATTGTCTTCGACCACATCCATCCATCTTAAAATCGCATTATAAACATATTTATATAGGAGTATAATACTTTTATAATTTACCATTTAAGGTGCAACAAATCATACAGAATGCTCGTGAAGAATTCACAATGAAATGTTTAGAAAAACAGGCTAAAAAAATGATAGAAACATCAAACAGGAAACCAAATCGTATTAATGTAAGAACTACTGTTCGAATTCCAATCCTTGATGTTGATAAGGCAAGAGGATCATTTTGTATTTTATTAGCGTTATCGCCTATATTCAAGAGAGCTTGTACAAATGATATATAAATGATTACATTTAAAATTGAAAGATTATAAAAAAATAAATATTTTTTATCTATACAACTAATAGGTACAAAAAATGGTTTTTTAAAGTACAAATAACAGAAATAGCCCCATAAGACGTAATCTTTATTGACTTAACAGAAAAAAAAATTAGCAAAATAAAAGGAAATTATTCTCCGAGAGGTTTCCGGCATAATAGTAATTCTATGAGTTAGGGATATCCAAAAGTGTCATTGTAAAACAAAATTTCAAAATAATAGATTAATAGATGCACTTGTCGAACAGCTAAAAAATAAGTAGTTCGAAGTACCATAATAGTTTATCTTGTGAATATAATATATTTACATGATTTTTTCGATTCAAGTTATATTTTAGTAATTAAATGGAATATTACCCAAATTATCTATGAATTGTAGGCATTTTATTTAGTCATTGTCAGCATTGACTGGATAAATTAAAAAAATTATTATATTTTTAAACATCAATCAACTATAAAAGTTATGCTTTTGTAGTATTCGTCCCAGATAGCAAAAATAGATTTTTTTATCATTTTTTTGATATTATTTTTAGTATGATATCATTCGATAAATATTTTTTTTTTGCATCAAATTCGTTGAAAAAATGTTTTAGAAATGATTATAAAATGACGGTTGGCCTCGAGTTTGACATCAATAAAATATTACCAAATTATTAATTATGTGATAATACAATTGTGTTATCATTAAAATATTTATGAAAAATAACAATTAATCAATACATTTGAATTGTAATTAAAACGTAACATTTAAAATAATAATAAAACAATACTATTATATTATCGATTTAATATTATTTCCATTTTATTTTATTAATATATATATTTTTTTTAATTGAGCTTAAGCCCGGCAACTTTGGCCATTAGCTGTTTTTTGTTTGTAGGTTATTTGTAGCTGGGGGGGAGGGGGAGTTTGTATGTGTGGCAAGGATTTTGTCACCCATCTGGGAGCTAGCAACACCGGCCGATACGTACACTCAAGAGTGTTTCCACAGTTGAGTGTACGGACCTCACAAAGCCATACAAATTAATATATTAATATAAAATGTATACTTTCTTTTTGTAGTATCATTCAAGAATAATAGAGCTATTATTATAGAAATAATAGATCATTTTTTTTCACCTAAAAAAATATATATGTATATCATCAGCAGTCCATGAATAATTTGGTTAAAGCTACATAGTCCTTATACCCTCGTTGTTCCTTCCCATACACTTGAATCCATACTTATTGGCATCAATAAGTATGCATTTTATTGTTAAATAAATCTCCATACCTTATATAATTATAATATAATACTAAATAAATATTATAATATTTAATAAAATACAATAATATATTATAAATTTAACTCTATAGTTTAATAAAATGCATATTGTGCATATAATTACATTTTTATACAAACAATTTATTAGAAATAAGTAAATAACAGATTATTGTATATCATTACATTAATTAATAAAAACAATTAACAAACTATGCAAACATTTAAATTGAAAATAATTTAAGTATTATACATAATAAACGTATTACAAAAGAAATATTGTGTAAACAATGAATATTAAAAAAAATTGGTGAAAATAAATTCGTTATAATAATATTATTATATTTATACCTAAAACTTATGTTTAGTATTATATATTACATAAAAAATGAATTTATCTTTTATAAAACAGGTAGTAAAAAGAACAATATTTTTTTTCATCATTATAATTAAATTATAACAATTTACAATTGTATAATAAATATAAGTATTTTAATTAATAATATATACTGTACCTAATTAAAAAAAAAACCTTTGAAACAAAATTAGGAAGTTTCCTAACTTCTTCTATGTAAAAATTAAAGTTTAACTTATATCATTAGTAATAATCGAAATTAATATACTATCAAAAACCCATAGAAATCTAATGAATATATATTACAAGGAAAATTGTTTAAACTTTATATTATAAAAAAAAAGAAAAATTACAATTAATTAATTTATTAATCATATTATAGATATATTTATCAAATGATAATAACTTGCAATTTGTATAGTTAAAATTCAGAAGATTCTGGCTTATTTCTGAATTTGGCACCAGCAATAAATATTTTGATTGGCTGCTCCACATCAATTGAATTAAAATTTTGAAATTTGTTAATTTTTTTTATAGAATCTATGATTAAAACATAATGTTAAAAACAAACAACTAACAGTTCTATGATTCAACATTTAATTTAAAGTGATTAAATTTCACTCACCAAAAATAACTGAACAACTTTTTAAAGTATGAAATACTTTCTTTTTTTTCTGACCTTTAAAACTATATTGTTCCAATAATATATCTTTAAACATGTATCGCATGATTGCACGCACCGTGCTTGGTAGAGTTCCACGCACCAAACGAGATAATTCTGAAATCTAAAAATATTTATGTACAATAATATCTTACACATTTTTAGTATTACATTATATTTAATTTTTTACCAATTTTTTTTTAAATACAGTATCTAAAAGTTTTTCTTCAAAAATTTCCAATTCGTCTTCATTTGATAGTGGTAGTGCAAAGATGAAATTATTATCTGAATCATCATTCATTACTTCTTTGGAACCTTTGTTTAAAAGTGAATTCTCGAGACTTTCAATCCTTTCTACTAAAGCTTTTATTTCATACCAAGTATTTAATGTTGTTCTATTGATTTTTGTTAAAATATCTATAAATGATTAAAAATATAAATAAAAAATATGCCAAAGAATATTTTAATTTTAATTGAATAAAATACTGTTTGCTAATTAGTGAATGTAAGTGAAATTTTTTATATACAGTAGAATCCGCGTATAACAATCTTAAAGGAACATAGAGAATCAGATCATTTTATCCTGATGCACGTGAGATAAAATAAACCAAGTACACGGCTCTCGAAATTCTATATCCCGAATATTGGTATATACATTATACGGAATAAAAATAAGCTGTTTCTGCGGTATTGGGAACCAATAAGTAATAACAGTAATGATGCATAATATACCACAGTTGTTTTTTTTTAAACCTAATTTATATTTCTTGTTGTTGAACAGAGGACCGATTATATGCAGTTACCACTTCTTATTTTGTAAAGAAAGACTTTGTTAAACAGAAAAAAGTACCCTGTAAAAAGGTCCCCGGAAAAAAGTCTTTGTTGCAGTATAAATAAAATACTATATTTCCACTATACTTGTACTTTTATTTATAAAATAAATTAGATTGACAAATTGTATCTGTAGATAGATAGCACATATTTTTTTTTTAATTTTTAATAATAATTATCGAAGGGTTAACTATTATATGACTATGATAATCATAGAATACAATTTTATCATCAACATTTATAGAAAAAAAACTAAAATAATTGGAAACAGAAAATGTCGTTAAACAGCTCAAAACAAGTCAAAATTTATTTTGAAAAGTTTATGGTGTATAGAAAATGCTATATAATATAGATAAAACAAAAACATTTATTTTCAATAAATGTAACATGTATTATATTATGTATATATAAATACCAATACAATAAAAGATTGAATTTAAATCTACTATTATGTATGAATTTTCTGTAAGTATCAATCAAAATGAAGGAAAACATATTTTACTTATATATTTTCTAAAAGTTATGTTTATTTAATTTTTTTTAATTTTGTATTTGTCATTATTTATTTTTTGTATATTTTATTTTGTTTGTGCAAAATAACTTACTATGTGGACTTTAGACAATAATAATTTTTTTTTATTTTCTATCATGTACATAATATGTGAGAGTAATTTTTAATCCAAGAAAGGTACCAATTTAATTTATTTGTTTGTCAATTATTTTCAATAAATGTAACATGTATTACCCATGTAACTATATAAAATATAAACACCTACCTATACGATAATAAAAGACTGGATTTATATAAAATATTAATCTTGAATCGTTAATTGATATCAAAAAAAATTTGGTGCTTCTTTTGTGTAAGTGACACAAAATTATTGTAGATTTGAGCAGATCAAGGAAAAATAAATTTAAGATATTACACAAAAAAAGATTTTGGAAAAAACCTTGATAATCAATAATCTGGTGTAGTATGTGTACACGATTTGTAATAGTAGTTTACCCCTTCTTAATTTATTATAAATTATAATTAATAACAATATTTTAATATTTTTTATATATTTATAAACCTATGTAACGCGAGACTTTTTTCCGTGTGACTTACCGAGGACTTTTTTGTTCTAATATCAGACTTTAGCCCCCCCTCCTTTCTCTAAAATTCAATCAAATATCCACCTTGCTATAACCACATTTAAAAAAATTCGGAGCCACTGTATTGAATAATTATTAGTTGTTATTACTTAGCTATTACCTAAATCCTATATACATACATAATTAAAGTTATAAAAATTAAAAAATTAATAGGTGTATTATTATTTTAAAATATTGTATACATACCATTATTAGAATGCGGAGTAGAATTAGATGATAGATTAATGTCTGTCACTTTGAATGGCGATGATGAAGTTGTTACGATCTTCTCAACTTCGTTAAAATTGATTACATCTATAACAAATTAATATAAAATAAAATATTGCCTCATAATGTTTTTAATTATTATCTTGATTATTTTTAAGATTAATATAGCATATCAATATTGAAACATAATTTAATCAATAAATTTAAATATTATATAAAATAACTTACTACACATTTTAGATTTTGGGCTCAGAGATTTGCATTTGTTTGTATCAAAATTTAGTCTTCTTTTGAACAATGATGTACCAGGAAAAGTTTTTTGAAGATCATTAAGAATTAATTTTTGCTTAGAAGGTGGTGTTTCTGTAAAATAAAAATAAACTATTATTTGAATAATTAGTACTGACTATTTTTATAGAATATTTGATATACCTAAAACAATTTTTAAATTTATAATAATAATAATTATCTGTTATAAGAAAGTATATAATACAAACACAAAAATAAAGAAATAAGGGGAAATATAACAAACAAATAATAATACCAAGTACAATATTTTCCTCGTGAATAATTGTGTTAGAATAGTTTGTATCTTTGTCTGAATCATCTTCTTCGTCGATAGATGAAGCTAAACAATTGATCAAGTTAAAATTAAAAGGTATATATAAACAACAAAATATAAATACAAATTACCTGGGCTATCTAAAGAGTTAGTGTTCCACTTAAGTTTTTCAATTTTTTTTAAATCATTTTTCATGACTTTTTTTTTTAGTTTTTTGGAACCGTGTGAGTCTTTCTTTAGAAGTTTCATTTGAAGATGAAATATTTGATGTGTCTTCAGATGCTTTTGCCTTTTGTTTAGCTATAATATAGTCATCTGTAATATATATAAAAATAATATTGAACTTCACAGTTACAAAAATTATTCAATTTGTATTACTTACCTAAATCACTACATAATTTTTTGGCTTGTAAATAGTCAAAATCAAATTTATTTGGAGGAATTCTTCGCTTTATGAAATGTGTTGCATTTTTTTTTGGCCATGCACAGTTAGTTTTATGGACCCAAAACGATGGTACAACTTCAACAGTATTGTCGTCCACAAAATTAATAACTGACCACATAATTGTAAGATTTGTCCACTAATAAAAAAAATAACAATAATAATCTTAACAATTAATTGTCTATAGTATTATTTTAACCTATAGTGGATCTAATTAATTAATTTTCATTTACATTATCAGTTCATTCATCTTATTCATTATAACTAATTAATCAATAAAAATGCAATCAATATGCTAGGTACATAATATCATAATAATTAAATTTCTTGTACATATAATTAATTATTCTCATCTAGTATAATATTATTTACAAAATTAATTAACAGTAATATAAGCTACCTACTAATATAATATATACATAATATAAAGGATTTTTTAAAAAAAAACACTGTACTTTTTGAGTATTTGAAGAATTAAGTGTGAATTAAAGGTAAAGCAACTAAATTATTATCTGAAGGTAATACAATCATTTTTTTTTTTATATCGTTAATTGAATACCAGGCTAGTTTATCACTTAATTTTCCAACAACATAGATATCTAACTCTGTAGATTTAATTGGTTTATCAAACAACGTACTGATGTCCTCAAATTGTTTACAAATTAAATATATTGAATTTTTTTGATCAACTATATTGAAAACTTTAACAATTTTATTACTATTAGTTAAAAGAAATCTATCGGCTTCAACGTGTGTTTTAATAGAATATTTCTCCATCTTTAACGTAGTATACTGCAAACCCTCCTTATTTTCTATAAGCGGCCCGTTAGTATGAGGTCTAGTACATGTATACATTTTTTCTTCTTTTTGAGGATTGGATTTTAGTGCATGCATTTCATTAAACCTTTTAATAACTTGAATCAGTGGCTTATCTGGTTTTCTTATAAGATTTTTAAGAGTACTCATAAAGTTCTCAAATGGAAACGTTGAACAATTATCCAATACACCAAATTTAATAAAATCATCACATAAATGAGTTAATCCGTGTACATTGTGAGATATAAGATGCCGTCCATACACAATTTCAAAGTTCTTTACAAAATTATTCAAAAGTTTTTGTGCTATATCAAGATGACAACCATAATCAGGACTCAATAAGATTATCATTGCCAAACTCAAGTTAAATAAATGTGTCCAATGTTTATTAGATAATACAGGTTTAGTAACAGTACAACCTAAATAAACTATAAACATACGTAACTCTGTAGATTTCCAACGGTTAATGAGTTCCAAGCTTCTTGGTTTTCTAGCCATTTCACAGGGTATGTTAGTTTTTAAACTTACTAGTGCCTTCGATATTTCTTTTATTTTCCATGATGCATAACGTATTGGAATTGGCCCCTTTACCCATAATAAAATTAATTTTCTAACAACACCTAAACATACTAAGTGCTGATAGTCTAGAGAAAAATCATTGACACAATCAAAGTTTGTTAAAGTGCTTAATACAGAAATGTTTCCAATATGGTGCTCTTCTTTGGATTTAGTAATATAATTCTGATGCGTTCTTTTAGGAGGTCGTCTATTTAGTGATGTGTATGGAAAACATATTCGGTTTAATAAGTATTCTCCTTCATGCTCACACCTTGAACATGAAAAGAATCCAGAATGGCCTTTGGTTTTTAACAAGAAAGACTTGGCCGGTGCATCGCAACATAAAGCATCGATTTTAACTTTAAAAACTTTGTTTTCTATTTCTATACCATTATTAATTAAATTATTTGCTTCTTCGACAAAATATTTTAAAAAACTATTACTGTCCGAAGGTTTTTCTTTCCCATAGTAAATGCCTATCGGAAACACATCACTTTTTGGACGTATATAAGCCAATATTGGCCAAAATTGTTCAGGGCTACTTTTAAATAATGGGAGGCCATCCACACCAGCAACAATCTGGATAACTGACGTATTATTATTTTGTAGTAGACTACTTGGAATATTTTGTTTTATTCCAATAGATAGACCGAAATGGTAATATTCTCCAGGTTCAACTGAGTGCAAATTAGAAACATCTATTGGTTTGGAATTCAAAATAGTCCTGGAATCTTTGGGTATTGATTCAAAGCATTTGTGTTGTTTTAAAACGCATAATAAACCGTTTAGAGCAATTTGACTTATTTTGAATTCTACAGCCCATTCTGCAATTAACGATACTAATACTTGATCAGATTTAATATCACAATTTAATGAAATTGAGTCATTATTTTCATCTGACAAAGACCAATTATTACAACTAATATCTGAATCAAGACTAATATTTCTTTTATTCTGTACATCAAAATTAGTATGAAAAGAGAAGTTTGTTTTGGAAGTTTGTTCTGGTATATCAATTGCAATATTAGATAAGGGCATAAATGTACAGTCATTGAGGTTTAAATTTAAATTAGATGTTGAAAGAATGTTTTGAGTATCGTTAGATGTGGATAATGGTATGCTTTTCAGTTGTTCTTCAACTCTTCTCCTTTTAGACCGAATACTCAAATTAGACTTTTTAAGAAATGACATAATTTCTAAAGAGAAAAAAATAGATATTACAACTATATATTACAACTATTAAGGATGACTAGGTACAGCAGATATAAAATATAAAATAAACCAAAATGTTGTAAAGAAATTAGTTAGGTAAATATATTTTGAATAAAATGAAACAAGTGTAGCTATAGAAATTAAACAAAAAAAATGTCAAATAGGTAGGTAAAGCCTGTCCTGTCACCTGTCAAGCCTGTCACCTGTATAAAAACATACCTATTATCCAAATAAAATATTTATTTACCTAGGTATGTTTATTTAGTAGATGGCTATAGGTTTAGGGAGAAATTAATTTTATGTTTGATTTATTGAATATTCATATCATATCAAACTTATGTGTATTACTATATACGTTACCTATATATTATATTAGCATGTATTTTTCCTTATTTTTCTTATGAAATTACAAAAATTAATAGATAGGTCGTAGGTACTTACCAAAATTAAATGATACGTTTTTTGTGTTTTGACTCTTGACGCGGCGTAGGTACGAATTATTAAACAGATGACAGATGATATAGTTACAGAAAGCCGCGTGATGCAACGAACTAAAATTTACTTAGGCGAACGGCCTAAACGGCGAAACGTTAAACGACAACTATAATATTATAATATTATAAATTATAATAACACGCACACATGGAAGACTTGTTGTTGACTCGCAGTCTATACACTATACAGTACATACTTTAGACTATATAAGACGTAAATACTAAGATGTAGTTTGGCAACGATGGTTTGTCAGTTTTAGTGTAGCCATGATGGTAGCAGCGAAGTAGTGTACTAGTGTAGTCGTGTGTCCGGTGTCGCCAGAAAAATATTTTATTAAATTGAAACATAAATAACCTTATCCGTTATCGGTAAACAACGTTGCGGTGTGTGGTGAGCTGGTAGGTAGTGGTGCGCAGTGCTCTCGTCTGGCCGATCGATGTACAATTATTTGGGAAATCCATTTATAAGTATTATAATTATAGATGAAATCTAAGAAATAACAATAATAACACAATCTGAACAATTATTATAGAATAGTGTATACACTATGCAGTATATATTACATAAAAGTATATAACGAAAATGTCAAAATGTTGTGTTTGTTTTGAGGTTTCTTTATCGTAATAATATTTATATATTAATAATAATAATAATAATAATAATAATTCGTAGTTAAGTAAACTAGGTATATAATATAGTTGACGTTTTTGTAAGCACTATTATAATTAGGTATGAAATATTAAAGAACAAATTAGAGGAATCAGTATATTATTATACTATTATAGTATATAATATTTTGATAATTATACCGACATAAGATTATTCGCCATGACCCGAACTCCTTTCCAAATATCCGGCAGTGAAAACATTTTATTTTTGTAATAGGTATATCTTACGAACGAGAAGTTGTTCGTAGTTTTATCTTTGATTTTAATAATTGCGCAGCTGTTAATTTTGGCGTTATGATAGCTATAATTAATCGATTTATAAAAAAATATATCAAACATAATTTACATGATATATCATGTATAAAATAAATGTTTCAATAAATAGACTGACACAGCAGTAATAATTAATAATATTACAAATAATAATGACAAAATATAATAATATAATTCTGTTATACAGTCAAAACCTTAAGTTTGTATTAAATAGTTAATAACATTAAAAAACATAAAATTTAAAAATAATGTAAGTTTATGTCCGTGGTTTAAATTTATTTGCCAATACTTTTGTTGTATTTTACGACACCAAGATTGATATAAATGAAATACACAACCCTTAACTTCAATTTTAAATTTAAACATTTTATTTTTGAACACAACTATCGATGTAATTAATAATCCAAGTATGTTATGGGAGGCAATTTGAGTAAAAAAAGGTCGCCTACCTAAATTTGGGAGGCAATTCGAGTGTCACCGTTACGATAACCACATTTATAATTTATATAAGTTTAGGAACACTTAACTCAATAATTTTTGCCAAATATGGGTGTCTGGGAGTTAGAGATATATGGGCAGTGGGCACAGCTGTCCGAGTTCTGATTCAACTGTAGTCAGGCGGAGACTGACCCACACGGATGACGGATGATAGATATCCTATAATTACATGACTGCCGACTGGTCTCAACTATTATTACTATTGTTTAATTATACAAACTCGATATACCAGCTCGATCAGTGGTCCGCCCAAAACCCATATTCAGTGCTGGATTAAACATTATTTGAAGCCTGTAGGGACTCATTATTATATCTGGCACACTTCCACCAAAACTTGCATCACAGATTATGGTTCTAAATATTATGTTTTTCTTTGTTAAAATAATATTAAAAAATACAATTAAAAAACGATGCATTTGTACACTAAAATAATTAAATGTGTGTTAACCCTATAAAATAATTGAGTGTTTACTTTTACTAGCTTTACAATAAGATAAC